CACAGCCCTTCATGTAATTCACGCACTAAGTCGCGCGCCTCTTCTTGCCCAATGCATTTGAGGTAGACGCCCGAGTACGACCTTCGGTATAATTCTCCTTCAATAAGTGTGCAACGAGCTGCCTTTTGCCTTAGAGTCCAAGCTTGCTTAGGGTCTTCTGGCACTGTCCCATCCTGGAGGTATTTCATAATCGGGTGTCTCCAGTCTTCATTTGACGCGAGCTGAGTTGTATTGACTGCTACCTCCGGGGAAGTATCTTCTTCTTCTTTTTGGACAGACACGAGGCGCGTGGATTCAAAGTCAGTAGCCGTTGCCAACTTGGATAGTGCGTCAGCGTGCGCGTTCTCCTCTCTTGGTATCTGCGCGTACGTTACTGCTTCGAATGTTGTGGCTCTCAACTTAACGCGCTCCATGTAATGCGCCAGTGTGTCTTCCTTTGCGTCGAACACTACCATACGTAGTTTTCAATTTAAATATAAATTTTGTGCTTTCTTTTTATCTTTGTTCTTATCTCTTTTTAACTTCCTCCGAAATTTCCTACATCATGCAATAGTTTGCGCCCCTTTTCACTTCCCAGTACAAGGCCGTCTTTAAAAATCAATCTTCCGGTATGTCTTGGCAGTACGATTTTATTGTTGGAGATTTAAGCTGGGTAAGTAGAAGATGTCAACTCCGACATCAATCTGAATAGAATCGAGTTCAATAAGTGGAGTTGCAGAAGGAGGATTAGAAATTAAATTTTTGCTTGAAACATGTGCCTCTTGAAATTAACGATAGAGTGGATAAAAATTTGGTTGTACGACAAAGAGTGGTGGCTATTGGATCTATAGGTCTATGGTTTTTGTAGCGATCACAACCTATTTCTATCTTAAAACGAGGAATAATAGATTGATTTACTAAAGCAACTCGATTCAACCTACTAGAACTGATAGATAAGGAGTGTCTAATTTTGTGTCTTATTACTTTGATCGAGTCTGTTAGTATATTGGATGTAACCCTAATTTTTCGCTTGCTCTCAAGTTTTGATAGTCCCCTCTTAGCTGAGTTTAGTATATAACTCACTTGAATAAACAACTCTCTATTTCTTTTTGATTAGTTGCATATTTTTCCTAAAATGAGAGCATTTTTAATAAATATACGATTATCTTTTGCTAAATTTTTTTTTTATGTAGGATTGTGAGATTTATTCCTATGGGTCGTGTGAGTTTTTATACTGTATCTTTCTTGACAATCAACTAACCAATAGAATTTTAACGGGGATTTATTATCACTATGAAAATGAAATCAATGATACATTTTCATATTTCATATTCTTAAATTATTGTAATGTTTGTCCGAATGTTCGACCTACATATTCTTTTTTTTATGTATCATTTCGATCGAAGGATTGTCAATAAAATTAAACAAGTTAATAAACTTAAATATAATATAAAAATATAAATATAAATAATCAAATATGAACACTCGCTTTTCGGTGCACTCACTTTTTTGGGTGCATTCAGTGCACTCGCTTCATAGCCGTCATTTGAAACATGCGATTTATGTCAAAATGATGTCAATGATCACTTATGATGTGATGAACAATAAAACACACGAATTTGCACAAAAACCATTGAAGATGTACTTTAATTTGAAGGATTTAGGGTTAAGAGATTTAGGGTGAGGGTTTACACTTTGGGGTTTAGAGATAGAACTCAAAATTCGAGGTATAGGGCTTAGGGTAATTCGCTAATTAGTTGTTATCATATGTTATATCATCATATTACACTAATTCTACAAACTAAATTTCAAAATTCGACACCTTAAGACTAGTTTTTGAGTTGGGTGCATTGAATGCACTAATTTTTGTGAGTGCACCGAAGTAGTCACCATATATAGAACATATATAGACTTATAGACTTGTTCTTGAATAACACTTCTTCAAGTTCACTGTTTTAAAGTGACTTTTCCCTATATAAGTATTGAAAACCTTTTCTATCTTATCAATTAAAGAGGATATTCAACTTATTAAATTATTTTAAATTCTAGTAGTAGGATCATTCCCCTTACCATGTTCCAGATGAAAGCAATGTCATTGTGGATACCGAATACTTTACTCATGCATATAATTAAGGATGGAGTGAATTAAATTCAAATAGTATGTAAACTAAATGATTTTAGTATCATATACGTGATCAATGGATGATGAGGCCCACTAAGTCTCTTCCGACGATCATTTTTGCACTCATAACAAACACTTTCAAGGATCATCAGGTCAAGGTTGTTTTTTGGCAAAAAAAAAAAAAAAAAAAAAAGGTCAAGGTTGTTTTGTGTATAATATGGATTGCAGATTGTTCTTTGTTTGAGGTCTTGCTATGAGAAAACTCCTTGTCAATAAATAGTCTAAAGAACTATGATACAATGGAGGAGTGTATTACAATATAGTTTTCTCTCAAATTTTACTCTTCCTTACTCTCTTTCTTTGTATGACTTGTCTTACCGACCACATTATGACCTCGGGTGTCTCCATTTCTGTATGCAGCTCACAACACACTACACTTAGTTAATTTGAGATTCCTTCTCTCTGGAGGAAGACGAAAGGGGGCTTTTATGAGTGTAACTATAAGGACTAAGGAGGAATATTAGGTCGACGGGGGCCAAGGTTTGCTAACAAGCGAGTGTTTAGGCTAAGAGGGGTTAATACTTGATGGGCTTATGGATGTTAGGCTACAGCTAAAGAGCTTGTCTTGAAGAGATAAAGGCTAGAAAAAGTTATTAGGCTTCAGGTCTCAGGTGAAACGAGTTGTCAATTTCAGTGGCCCAGTCGGCCCAATCCGAATTGGGCCCTCCCTCCTGACCGAAACCCTGATAGTTTTGTCCGCCCCATTGGATGAACTCGCTGGTCTTTTCAGCAATAGGCCCTCAAGGTTTCGCTTCCAAGTTAGCCAGAGACCATCTAGTGACTAAATCCTTCATAGCTCTTAAATTTAGATGCATAAATCTAATGGCTAAAACTTAGGTCACTCAATTGTGAATTAGGGTTCGTTTGCTATAGGGTTTTGTTGATGGATTTTGTGATGGATTTGCATGTTTCATGGATTTTGACAAAAGTTCATTGTTTGCTTGAAGGAGTTAGGGAGTATAAATCCGTGGGGCCCATGCACTTTTGAGGTCCAAATCCGTGGACCCCACGAATTTGGAAAAACTAGCTATGGAGGTGGGAATTGGGTGATGGATTAAAATCCATGATGGTATTTTTCTTATTTGTCCTCACTTTTTATATAAATGGCCAATCTACCCTCCTACTTCAATTTCTACATATATGTCATACAAGGTGTTTTGTGACGGCTACAGAGGCATGAATGATTATATTGAGAAATGGGTTGTCGAGGTGCTCCAAAAATCACCAATTGGACCCTTATGAGTCACAAATGCTTGCACGAAGAACCCCCAGCATCACCACCATTGCCATCCTCCCATTTTTTTTATCTCCTTCTACTTCCAACAAACAACATTTTTTATGTCATTTGAGTAATCACAACCATTGATTTATGTTATGCTCTGCTTGCTAAAAGAATGTCCTTCGAGTAATCGCCACAATTGATTTATGTTATGCTTTGCTTACTAAAATGGAGATCAATTCAAACTTGCAATTAATGTTCAGTATTTATCTCCCCCGGCACTTGTCCTTCCAGTGCAGCCTCCGACACAAAGAATGAACCATTTGCTTAATTAATGATGATATGTTGCACATTTGGAGTCTTCTTTCTTTAGAAGATTATAGATAGGGGCAATAAGGTCAATTTCACTTAATATCTACAAATTTCATTAAACAAAATCCATCATGAAATCCATGAAACAAACAATGGATTTTTAAAAGTCCATAACGGATCTAACACCTTCATAAGTCCATGGATTTCCAAAACCCAGGTTTTACCAAAACCTTCATTTTTCAAATCCATAAAGCAAATGAGCCCTAGGTTCCATGATCTCGCTCTAAAGCGACAAAACGCGTTTTTGGATAATCCGAAAAAAGTCGGGAATTACTTGTACTTGAATCATGACTTTTATTTGGAAGATTGTGATTCCTTGGAGCACTTCCATATAAGAGGTGACGAGGGCCAACGACCGGCAGTGATAGCTTGGGTTATGTCAAACAAATAGCGACAGCGTATTCTACGAAACAAGTTCCTGCTTGTTCCGATTTCCCTGAGTGTTTTTCCCACTGCTCTGTTTTGGTGTACTTGAAAACAAAGATTAAATTTATGATCGATTTCTCGGATCTACACATCTCCCTCCAAATCTCACTAACCATCAATATCCACACCAACCTCCCAATTTTGCAAGAGACTTAACCTTTTCAGCAACATCTATCGTAACAAAATATATCACCTAGGGTTCCGCGACGAGTTAGGAATAAAAAACACGTAAATGGAGTAAAAAGACATCTAGGTGTCGCCTATAAATAATTAGAGGGAGCTATAGATAATCAATATCAAAGAAAGAAATCAACATCATATACAAAGTCGATCATCTATATCATCTTTTCAATAGCTCAAGAACTTCATGAACTATTGAGCATGATTATATGAACTTGTGAGCTATTTTTCTTGTCGTTAATTGTTGATTAAGATTGATAAATTGAATAATGTAGGGAGTGCTGTAAATCGTTATTTCATTCATTATGTAGTATAATTTGCTAATTTTTCTTTCAACGCATATGCATACTTAGGCAACCTCTAGATGAGCTAAGCGCTAGACAAGGTCCGATGCCCGCCTCACACCTAGAGCATTCTTGAAGCTTGGTTAATTGTTAGAACTTAGATGCACCACTTTCCAAAATTTGTTTTCAACTTCAGTGAAATGGCAATTGCATACGCTCAAATCACTTGATATTATTTACTGAAAAGTGAAAACAAATAGACAATCTTTCCGTTTTACAACTCGAATCTTCTCAGATCCGTAAAATAATTCTTCACCCGCAGAGACCACTGTTTAGCCACCAACGAGCCCTAATAAAATCACATCTCGAGCTTTGCCCAGCACCAAGACTCGCCACGAATGGGGACCTCACTCATATAAATCGTCATGTGACATTCAGTATAAACGGACCCCTTCTTTTTTATCAACCGGTTCAGCATCGACACCTTCCCGTGCATCGTCACCGTCGCAGTAAGGTTCAGGCTGCCGCCGACGATGTCATTAATAGCATTCGGATTCTCCCTGAGCCTCTTCGCCCGCAAGACGGCCGGAGCCGTGATGTTGAAAGTGGATCTCGCCGGGATGGTGCCTTGTACGATCGGAACCCGGCCCACGAGCTTGCCGTCGTACTTGATGTGGCTCGTGGCGTTTTGGAATTCGAAGCTGGCGTAGTTTTTGTTGCGAATGCTCATCACCATGTCGCTGGTGACGCTGTCGTTGGTGATGAAATCGCTTAGCTGGAGTTTGGCCAGGCCGACGGGATACAAAACGACGTCGGGGTCTCGTGGCTTGAATACGGTCAATGCCAGCGTCACTAAAACTGATATAGTGACGAGGGCGACGATGGTAGCCGATATGCAGCAGACTCTGAGCGTGGATTTACTTGTCGCCGCCATTTTTTCTTTTTACTTTTGTTTTGATGAAGAATGATGAGAGTGATTAGGGTTTTGTGTGTTCTCGAAGAGGTGATAATGCTGTTTGATTGGAATGAGTTTCGGATGATTGAGAAATGGGGTTTGGGCTGATTGGTATTTAAGAGGATGGGATTGGACGACAGTCAATGGCAGCGACTCCAAAGCTGAAATCGTTGCCACTGCAAATTTTTGCAGTCAGATGGGAAATTAGTAGTCCACAGTTTGTTGGGATTCTAGGATATTGGCATTCCGCCAAATTTGATTTGCTGTTAACCTAGTTTGACCATTCTAGTAAACTAACTAGGTAAATGTCATATTTGGTCACTGAGATTATTAAATCATATCATGTTTAATCACTAAAAAATATTAAAATCAATTTTGGTCACTCGAATTACTAAAATATGTCACATTTAGTCACTCTCCGTTAGCCTCCGTCCAACTCCGTTGAGAGTGACTAAATGTGACATGTTTCAGTAATTAGAGTGACATTTATAAAAAAAAAAAAAAAGTACTTCGAGTGACCAGAGTTGGACGGAGGCTAACGGGAGAGTGACTAAATGTGTCCTATTTTAGTATTTTTTTTTCTAGTGACTAAACATAACACGATTTAGTAATCCCAGTAACTAAACGTGACATTTACCTCCAACTTATATTATACCGAATTGCTATATGGGGGAGCAGATAAAGTGAGTAATCTTGTGGTGTTATAACCCCATACATAACCCAATAAGAATCCGCCACATCAGCGCCTCCTTCTCTTTCCTGGAAAATTCTTTAATTTTCCTTCTCTTAATCTTTAACGGTCGATTTCTCACTTGTTTTAAGTCCGAGTTTAATTTTTTTTTGCACAGTTAGATCAGATTAATTGTGCTCTTCAAAATGATATCCACTTTGATATTTTTTGGAACTAGGCAAAATAAATTCTTTTAATTCTCCACCCTTAGATCTGCAGCCACTTAAAAGAAGGGTCCAGATTTGGTTACTCATAGTTATGCACCCTAAAATTATGCACTTGCACCCTATCTTGAGCCGCTATATGGATCTTATTTTTCGTCTTTTGGCTACGTTAATTTATTTTGTGACCAAAGTTAATGTTTTCATTATTTATAGGAATGGTTAACAACAAACCCGTAATTCATACGAACAAGGGCTTGGTCAAGTGGAAATACCACTAGCCTAGAACCTGGAGGTCCCAGGTTCGAATCCCTTAAGTAGTACCTTAATAACAACAAAATAAAACCTATATCACCCTTATCAAAAAAAAAAAAAAAAACAAACCCGTAATTCATTCTTTACAATAACAATTAAAAAAAAACTAAAGTATTATTAATTTCTACTCGGGATTTTTAAATTTTGTAGTTGCCTACTTGGTCTTTGAGTTTGGGACTGTAGTTCAGCCTCAGCAAGTAGTTTTTAATCGTCAAATAGTTGGGCAAGCGATTAATATGTATTCTTTAGTGAACTCTTCATCCATGTCTGCATAAATTAAAAAACCATTAATTTTGATTTAGTAAAAATCTATATATGGAAGCATGGCAATTTCGGCCACCATTGGTGGTATGATTTTGATTTGATTTTCAATATGAAGCATATGTGTTATTTTAAAAAATGACATGTTTAACTATATGAGGAATTTATGTTACTTTGTCAAGAGTTATTACCTAGACGATCACTTTCTAGGAGTACAGTTGCATCTTGATTTTGATTAGGAATGACAATGAGTCGGGTTTCGGACGGGTTTGCCTAAACCATACTCATTTCCATTTTCAAATATCTAAACTCATATCTACCCTATGTCCGTGCAGGAAAGGTTTTGCAATGCCATTCCTACACTCGTGGATAATACCCGCCTCATACATCAAATATTATTATACATAAAATTATACATGGGGATTTTCAGTATAACACTAAACAGACCTAATAAATAATTAAATAAACAAAAAAATAATCATTCTCAATAGGGTTAAAAAACTTACGATCTTAAAACATCTATTAATCCATAAGATATGGTATAATACTATTCAAATTATTCATCAACGACTCTGATACATCTACTCATCACTAATAACTAACATAATCTTGTTCACAACGAGGAAATGTGAAAGAGTGAAAGGAGAATTGAGGAAAATTAATTCTGTTTTGGTTTGGGTGGTCACTCAATTACATTTCTACAATTTATCTTCTTAAGTTATCCTCAAAAAATTTATAATTTGATACTCGTGTTTTCTACATGCGGAGAAATATCCTTGGTGGGGCAAGTATGAGTATGGGTATTGACAGGGAGGCTAAAACCATACTCATATCCTATACCCGTCAATTTTTTTTTATAAATTTTACCTATACCCAATCAATGCGAAAAATCTGATTCGAGGATGATCAAGTATATGTGATCTCGGGTTTGATTGTCATCCGAAATCTTGAATTGAAGGTGGCGGTTGCTTTACTTACGATTTTAGATTCGGTAGAACGTCAGCAGGCCAACTTTGTCTTCTATTTTCACTTGCTTCTTCATAAAGATTGGGAGGAGCCAACTACCAAGTACTCATGTGTATGGGAAGGCCAAGCTCACGAAGGGCATGCTTTAATTAAATCCGTAATTTATAGTTTTTCTGATCCAAACATTTAGTAACGACTTTTGTATGATTTGTGAAGAATTTTTTATCCAATTTGATTATTAATAGTTGAGAGATAACGGTGCCTCAGCACCAGCTTTCACAAAAAATCAGTAGCCTTCAAAAGCAAGGGTTGTGTGTTCTCAAAGAGGTGAATGTTATTTGTTAGAAATGAAGTTTGGATGATTTTGGCCCGGCTCGGCCGTGATCGGTATTTAAGAGGACGGAATTGGACGACATTCAATGCCAAGCAACTGCAATGCTGAACTCGTTGCCACTATATTTTTTTTTGCAGTCAGGAGTGAAATTAGTAGTCCAAAGTTGTTGGGATTATAGGATCTTAGCATTCCGCCAAATTTGATTTGTTAACTTACTTTGACCATTCTGGTAAATCAACTTTATGTTAGATCAAATCGCTATATGGATAATTTTTAGTCTCTTAGTTACATGAACTTTATATGTGGTATATATAGTAATTCAATGACATTACGGTAATTCTAGAGTTAAATTTTTACAAAATTTATAGAATTGGTTAACAACAAACCCGAATTTCCTTCTTCACAAGAAAATTTTGCAAAAATAAATCCCGTCGGTAGATCTTAGCCCTTAGAAACTACTATATATTGATATCTACTTGAGATTTTTAAAGTTTGTAGTTGGTATTTAAGTTTGACGGTAGTTCAGCAAGTGGGTTTTAATCATTAAATAGTTCAACAAGTGATTATTATATATTCTTTGGTGAATTCTTCTTCCAATATTGGTAGTGTGATTTAGATTTGATATCACTATGGAACCTATGTAATTTCAGAGGGTTTATAGCATTTTGTACCACTATACTATTGCAAATTAAACGTACTTTTTTACTAATTTTTGACACAAACATACCCTTATAATATTAGATCGTAAAAAATATGCCCTGTCATCTAATTTTCCGTTAATCAACTTTTAAGTAAGCTGTGAAATGACCTGAGTGCCCCTATTTAGTATTAATTTTGTTTTATCATTTTTTTATTCTCAACCATCGTCGAAAACCCCTCCCCACATATAGACTCCGGCGCACCCTGCTTGTTGCGGCCACACCTGGCGTTTCCTCTCCAGCGAACAACATAGGGTGAGACGCCGATGGCTGAAGTAGATAAACAATACTCAGCGTTCACCAGCGAAACAAAAAGTGAATAGGCCCACAACTTTGTTTCTATCACGTTTTCTTCTTCTTGATTCAGAGGTCAATATCAAAATTATTCACATTCTCTCTTTCACTTAAACTTTAATTTGATGACAACATTTTATTGGTAGGTTACAGAGATCACTCAAATTTAAGTTATGAAGAATGTCTCATTTGATTTCTACTTCTTCGACCACTCTATTGTTCGAAGTTCCTAGGTTGATTGAATTGCAATATTAGATTAATAATTTGATATTTGAATTCTGTTATGCTTTTATCTTTCAATACGATGGAGGTAGTGCTTCATTGTACCTAGGGTCGGGAAAATAGACCAAACCGTTTGTAAAACCATGGTCCAAATCAGACCGTACCGTTTGGTTCGGATTGTAGATCGTTAAGTATTGTCTGGTCTAGATCGCGGTTTACCGGACCAAACCGTGGACCCAACAGACTTCTCAATAGGTGTTAGTAGCCCACTTGATCACTATCCCAACTCCCACAATGATACCCAAGTCTCAATCTAAATGTTGAGAATCTCGTCTCCTCATTCATTCACACCCACATTTCACCAAAGAGTAGAGATGATCGTGTCTTCATATGACATTATGTAAATGTTTATGACGTTATGGTGCAAGTATATGGATGCTTTGACTTTACATCTTTATTATTATTGAGATTTATGGTGTCAAAATTATTATTATTATTATTTTTTTTTGTCATAGATAGGTGTACAAAGATATAGGTAGGTGTACAATGCCGTATGCTTATGTAAAAAAATAAATAATCAAATGCGGCGGTCGATAACTAATCAATCCGCTGATAAAAGAGCCTTTTTAGCCACTAAATGGGCAGCTCTGTCAGTATCCTAAGAAATGCAACAAAGGATACAGGCGGGTACATAACACACGCCAAGCCAGAGAAGTCGGATGATAGTTCAGCCTTGCCGATTGCAAAAGCAGAGCAACCATTCCACTTGCCACGTGCATGCCGAATCGCCAACACTTGTTTAGCAACACAGATATGCGCCACAAATGAAGCACTTTGGAAGGCCCGTGCCAACTTTCATTGTTGAGAAGCATAATGGATGGAAAACTACATGCCCCTGCAAAAACAAACAAACACACAAGTGCCCATACTATAGGACAAAACTAAGCTCCACTGAATGGACTTAAACAAGCCATTGAGGCTTAGTCGGATACTCCGAA